GTGTAGCATGAATCTTAAAGGTCTTATTAATAAAATCAAACCTGGAGCCAGGTATTGGGGTGAAGCTGGAAGATCAGAGAACCAGAACAAGCCACAGCTACCTCACCTCACCAGATCCTCAGCTGGTCTTGTTTCCTCAGACTGGAAGCCTCTGAGTCCTCATCCATAATGGGTCTCAGCTGAACTGTTGCTCAGAGCCTAAAAGCTTAACCAGCCAAATGCTTCTAGTTTCTGGTCCTCACGCCTTATATACCTTTCTGCTTTTTACCATCACTCCCTGGGATTAAAGGCTTGCTTTCTGGGATTAAAGGTGTGATGAGTCACCACGGTTGGCTGTATTCTTGAACACATGGATTTCTGCCTCTGGAATACTAGGATTAAAGGCGTGTGCTACCACTGCCTATCCTCTATGTTTAATATTGTGTCTGTTCTGTCTCTGACCCCAGATAAGTTTATTAGCATGCACAATATTTTGGTGAACACAATACCACCACAATGTTGTGTCCATAGTGCAGAGAGATGAAGGATTGATGCCCTAGACCAGGGGATGGTATCATCTGCATTTAGGGAAGGTCTTCCCATCTCAGTTAAACCTCTAGAAACAGCCTCACAGACACACCCAGACTGTTGTCTTCTAGGTGTCTCTAAATGAGGCTAAAATGACAAGTGTAGCTATCACAAACCCGCTCCTGACACCCCAGCTTATCACCTTTGTGTAGGAAATGTCTATTAGCCGGTGGTGCCACTGGAGCTCTGTCAAACACATCACTTTTCTTTCTTGGTTTGTTTTTGCTGTTGCTGTTATTGTTTGTTTTGAGGCACTGTTTCTCTATGTAGCCCTGGCTGTTCTAGAACTCACTATGTAGACCAGGCTGCTGGTGGTGGCTCATGTCTTTAATCCTAGCACTCAGGAGGCAGAGGCAGGGGCATCTCTGTGTGTTTGAGGCCAGCCTGGGCTACAGAGTGAGTTCAGGACAGCCTGATCTGTTGTACAGAGAAACCCTGTCTTGAACCCCCAAACACTCATAAAAATAAATAAATAAACTATAACATACCCTAAAGTCTCGTGTTCACTTTTTTTTTTTTTTTTTTTTTTTTTGATTGGATGTGAGATTTATTAGGGAACATGTTTTGGGGTATGGGAGAGCACAGTGAAAGCCATCAGGACTACAGGGTCTGCCACTTGTCCAGGGGATCGCAATTGGGGATTCATTTGACCCCCTAGCCATTGGGAATGAGCTGGTTCTCAACTACCATGTCTTCAAATTCATCTGCATTAGACTTGGTGAAGCCCCACATTATTTACTTTTTGTTTTGTTTTTCAAGACAGGGTTTCTCTGTGTAGTTTTGATGCCTCTCCTGGAACTCACTCTGTAGACCAGGCTGGCCTTGAACTCAGAGATCTGCCTGGCTCTGCCTCCCCAAGTGCTGGGATCAAAAGCGTGCACCACCCCACCCACCCCCATTCACCCCACCCCCGCATTATTAAGATGTGGATCTTCTAGAGGCCGGGAACTTGGCTCTATGCAGAGCCTTGATCACATGTTCCTTATTCTGAAACCTAGTGCAGATGGACATGATGACCTGGCCAGTGTGAACCCTGGCCACTGTGTCCTAGTGCAGCCCACATAGGCAGCAGGCTAAAAGTGTTACCCAGGAGGCTGCTGTTTGCAGCCATTGCACACAGGCCTCCGTGAAGAAAGGGACCTGGGCAGCTCAACTAGCTGCAGTTATGTTCATTTCTTTGTCTTTCTTCCTTTCTTTTCTTTAAGTTTCTTTTATTTTATTTTTTTGTTTGTTGTTGTTTTTTGAGACGGTCTCTCTACATAGCCGTGGCTGTTCTATAACTTACTTGGTAGACAAGGCTGGTATCAAACTCACAGATATCTGCCTATCTTTGTCTCTGATGTGCTGGGATTAAAAGCATGTGCCACCATGCCTGGCTTCATGTTCATTTCTTAATGCAAAAATGAAGTCAGTTCATTTTTAAAAGACCCCCAAAATCTTAACACTTTCAAAATTATTCAAAAGTATAAAGTCTCAGGCAGATCTCTGTGAGTTCAAAGCCAGCCTGGTACACAGAGTGAGTTCCAGGACAGCCAAAGCTACATAGAGAAACCCTGTCTCAAAAAAAAAAGAAAAGAAAAAAGTATAAAGCCTCAGAGTCTTTATGAGACTCAGGCAGTCTCTTAACTGTGAGCCTAGGTAAAATAAAATACAAGTTACCCACAATATACAAAGGCACAGAGTAAGTATTTCCGTTCCAAAAGAGAGTGCTATGGATATAGGGAAGATCGGGCTGATGGCTGGAAAGGTGACTCAGTCTGTAAAGTGCTTGCTGCGAAAGATGAGGCCAAAGCAAGACCGAAACCCAGCAAGGCAAACACTCTCACAGCTCCATGTCTGGAATCTGGATTCAAGATGGAACGATCTGGGTTCCAACTCTTAAGCAGCCCTGGCCCTCCAGCTTTGCCACCAGAAGCATGTGCAGCTTTTCTCTTGGGCCTGATCCATTCTCTGCCTGCAGCTTTCCTCAACAGATGTCCCACACACAGCCCTAGGCCTCCCAACATCCACTGCAATTTAAGTATTCCTTTTACATCATCATCAAGTGGATTCTCAGGACCTTTCTCTATGGAACCTGACCCTGCCTTACCTTGCCTGGCCTTAAAGACTTCCTTGCTATAAGCTCCCATGGCTCCATAACTCTTGCATTATGCATGCTCATATATTGTTTTTGACTAAATCTCAGTCGTTCAAGTTCACCAATAAAGACTTGGAGCCAGGTGCTGGGGTGAAAACTTGCTAGTTCAGAGAGGAAGAGAAAGCACCCGGCTGATCTTCCTCCTCCCAGAAAGAGATCTTTCTCCTGTGCCAGCTCAAACAAAACTCCTCAAACTGAATGTCCCTCCCCTCTACTTCCTGTGCATCTCTCTGTTTTTTCCTGTCAACTGGTTGCTTACTGCTTGCTCCAACTCTTGACCTGTGGTTGACTTTAATCCTGTTTACAGTAAGTAGAAAGCTCTTGGATTAAAGGTGTGTGCTAGGGCTGAGCCACACCATAACTAGAAACAGGTTTTCCCAGTAAATAATGCAATCTCTGGGTTCACAGTGTGATCAAACATACCAGTTAGGAGCTGTAGCTGAGTTTCGTCCCTGGATGGTGGGAATGAAGGTGCTCGCAGCTGCCGCCGCCACCACCACCACCTCCTTGTTCACGATAACTCTAGAACCCAACTAATTTATAGAGATTCCCCTGTCTCTGCTGGGAATAAAGGCATGGACTACCACTGCCCTGCTCAAATTTTTTTTTTTTTTTTTTTTTTGAAGACAGGGTTTCTCTATAGCTTTGGAGCCTTTCCTGGAAATCACTCTGTAGCCCAGGCTGGCCTCGAACTCACAGAGATCCACCTGTCGCTGCCTCAGAGTGCTGGGATTAAAGGTGTGCACCACTACCGCCTAGCTTCTGCTCAAATATTTTATCTTAGTTCCACAACACTCCAGCTCTTAGAGATATAGAAAACAAGTTTGAACTATAGTGTCCCTTTGAATTTAAGACATTTTAAATCTCTTAGCTGTGATTTTAATACCAAACAGCAAAAATATCCTTTTTATTTATTTTTATTTTTTAATTTTATTTATTTTATTTAAGAAGAAAACTCACCAGGCGGTGGTGGCACACGACTTTAATCCCAGCACTTGCGAGGCAGAGGCAGGCGGATCTTTGTGAGTTCAAGGCCAGCCTGGTCTACAGAGTGAGATCCAGGAAAGGCGCAAAACTACACAGAGAAACCCTGTCTCGAAAAACAAAAAAAAAAAGAAGAAAACTCAAAAGCTTCTACATCCAAGATGGCACAGGCCATATGGCAATCTACATTCTAACATGGAACTAAGACATGTGGTTTAAGAAAACTCATTTTTCATTTCATGCCAGTAAGATAAGTGTGTCTTTGGTAAATTATCATTTGAAATATTATTTTTTATTTTTGTTTTTTTTCATGCCTGATTAAATGAAAGGCATTTGTTAGTCTTTATAAGCTAGTTTGGACGGAATGACCAAGCTGTCTGATGAACTATCGCTTCTCATTATTCAGAAGATCTTTCCTGTTTGAACCTAATCTTTTTCAGTCTTGTTGGTATCCACAGCTTTTCTTCTCCTGTGAAAACAAAGACAAGACCTCTTCCCCAATGTAACATCTATTCATTCAGAGGTCAACACATCTTTACAATATACAGGATGATTTAATTCAACAGTTTTTTTCTATTATCCAATGTCTTTCTGCAGCTGTTGTTCCTTTCTCATTAGCATTTAAAAATTTAAAGTTAATAAAGCACTGTGTAATCTATCTCTAGTGGTCTTTATTACCCCTTTCTGTTCATATTAATTTATTTAGGGTTCTTTTTTTTTGAGACAGGGTTTTCTTGTGTAGCTTTGGAGCCTGTCCTCGAACTCACAGAGATCTGCCTGCCTCTGCCTCCCAGTGCTGGGATTAAAGGCGTGTGCCACCACTGTCCAGCCCCCTTTCTATTTATTAAGCATATCTTTTTTTTTTTGAGACAGCATATCTTTTAAAGTGCGATTAGATCTTTCTATAACTGCTTGTCCTGTAGGATTCTGTGGTATACCTGTAATATGCAAAAAAAAAAAAATGTTTCATTTTACTAGAGACATGCTGGAGCATTGTCAAGCTTAATTTGTACAGGCGCTACCATAATGGCCATAACGTAATAAATTTGTAATTACAGAATCAGCCTTTTCAGAATTTAATTCAGTTGCCCATTGAAATCCCGAATATGTATCAGTAATATGGTACATATACTTTAATTTTCCAAACTCTGCAAAATAAAACACATCCATTTGCCAAATTTCATTCTTTTGAGTACCTTTGGGTTACTTCCTGCAGGTAGTGGAGTTTGATAATACAGAGAACAAGTAGGACATTTTCTTGGACTATTTAAGTCCTTATCACCTGTAGGGTTTGAAATAAAATACTTAACTCTTGAGTAATTAATCCAATTGTGGGCTGTAACCAGTTAATATCTTCTAGCAATTTTTGAAAATCATTAAGAGTTTGTAATTGATCTCCTTTAATTTGTACTTTCTATAGTCAAAACTTCTGTAAGCCTATCTTATATACTAGATAATTGATAGAAGCTCCTCTTTGCAGTTTTTCAGGAGCAATTTATAATCCCCAACAAGGCAAACATTTTCTTCTGAGGTATCTGTGTCTGAATCAGCCAGTAAGATATCATCCATATAGTGATAAATTTTAGATTGGGGAAACTGTTTATGAATTATTTTTAATGGCTGTTGTACAAAATACTGACATAAGGTAAGGCTGTTTAACATTCCTTGTGGAAGAATTTTCCACTGATACCTTTTAACAGGCTGAGCACTACTACAAGTAGGCACTGGGACGGCAAATTTTTCTTCATCCTGTTCTTATAAAGACAAAATAAAAAAGCAGTCTTTTCAAAGGGAACACTCCTCCACTGTTGGTGGGAATGTAAACTTGTACAACCACTGTGGAAATCAGTATGGCGGTTTCTTAGAAAATTAGGAATCCAACTACCTCAAGACCCAGCCATCCTACTCTTAGGCATATACCCAAGGAACGCTGATTCATACCATAAAGATACATGCTCAGCTATGTTCATAGCAGCACTATTTGTAATAGCCAGAACCTGGAAACAACCTAGATGCCCATCAATGGAAGAATGGATGAAAAAAATGTGGTACATATACACAATGGAGTACTACTCAGCAGAGAAAAACAATGAAAGCATGAAATTTGCAGGCAAATGGATGGAACTAGAAAAAATCATCCTGAGTGAGGTAACCCAAACCCAGAAAGACAGTCATGGTATGTACTCACTCATAAGTGGATTCTAGATATAAAGAACAATCAGACCACAACCCATTAAAAAAAAAAAAGCAGTCTTTTAGATCAATCACTATAATGGACCATCCCTTAGGTAATAAAGGCAACAAAGGAATTCCAGACTGTAAAGAGCATATTGGCTGAATCTCCTTATTTATGGCTCTTTTTTTTCTAAAGATTTGTTTATTTATTATACATACAGTGATTTGTCTGCATGTGTCCTTGCAGGCCAGAAGAGGGCACCAGATCTCATTACAGGTGGTTGTGAGGCACCATGTGGTTGCTGGGAATTGAACTCAGGACTTCTGGAAGAGCAGTCAGTGCTCTTAACCTCTGAGCCATCTCTCCAGCCCTACTTATGGCTCTTAAATCTGTTAACATTCTCCACTTCCAGATTTCTTTTAAATGACAAGAATTCCAAGGACTGGTTGGTTCTTCAATATGTTTAGCATTTAGCTGCTCCTGGACCAGCTGTCCCAGTGTCTGTAATTCTTCTGATATCATAGGTCATTTTCCCCCATACAGGTTTGTCAGTTAACCATTTTATTTTATTTATTTATATTTTATGTATAAGTGCTCTGCATACATGCCTGAGGCCAGAAGAGGGCACTAGATCTCATTACAGATGGCTGTGAGCCACCATGTGGGTGCTAGGAGTTGAACTCAGGTCCTCTGGAAGAGCAGCCAATGCTCTTAACCACTGAGCCATCTCTCCAGCCCCAGTTAACCATTTTAAAGGTAGGGCATTTGGTACCTTTGAAAGACCAACAGCTGTTGTGTCCTGCTTATGTACAACCTGAGTGGTCTGTGACTGTTCTTGATAATAACTTTTAATATTTTTTCTCAGA